CAGCCTGTGGCCCTTCTACTATAAACACGCTTTAAAGTAAGGAAACAAAACAAAACAAAAAAGCTACACAGTTATGGGAGCACAGGTCTGTAATTCCTAGCAACAGAAAGGATAAGATAGGAGGATCAGTAGTTTGAAGACAAGCTAGGCTACAGAGTAAGACCCTGCTCAAACAAAAGCCTGTAAAACTCTGCTATGACTAGAATGGGTTCTGACATGGCTGGTAAGCAATTAATTCAAAGGAATCCAGCAGAGAAACATGTACAGGTTAGTTGGACTTTCCCTTAGACTTGCATGTGAAGACATACTTCTAGCCACCAAAAAGTATGTAACTTTCTACTCTTTGGGTTCCTTGTTGTTATTATGTTTGTTTCCATCTTTTACTTGTATTGTATTGTATCGTATTGTATTTTAGAACTGAGAGATTGAATTTTGGGCCTGGTCTACTATTGAGCTATATAACCATAGCTATCTTTCTACATTAAAAAAATAAACAAACATCCTGTGGTGGTCTGAAAGAAAATGCCCCCCCAAAGGAAGTGGCACTATTAGGTGTGGCATTGTTGGAGTAGGTGTGGTCTTACAGGAGGAAGTGTTGTGGGCCCACATTTCATATACGATAATTTACAGACAGGCTCACTGGCCACTAGGCAGCTGTCATCCTGCCAAACAAACAAGACAGCCACCTAACAAAGACCAGGATGTATGGCTCCTTCTCCTTTGTTAAAAGGTAGATTACCTGGGGAGAGGTGTTGGTGACTACCTTGCAGGTGTATCCCTAGACCCGCGTCCCGAGAAAGAAAATATTAATGAGGATCCACCTTGGTTTACCTGGTTATTTTGGTAGAATAAATGCGGGTAGATCTTCAGGATGCATAAAGCCTGAGATGCTTTTCTGTGATGACTGTGTGAACTGTGTCTCATTTTCTAGCACCTCCATACTGGTCAAGTTAGGGAAAATAGTTTTCTACGTTGGGGCCTACGGGCTATGACAAAGTGTATTACTGTGGAGGCAGGCTTTGAGGTCTTGTGCATGCTCAAGCCAAGCCCAGTGAGGCAGACCACTTCCTGCTGCCTGTGAGTCATGATGTAAAAACTCACTTTCTCTAGCACCATGTCTGCCTGCATGCTGCCATGTCCTGCCATGATAATAATGGACTAAACCTGTGAACTGTTGCCATGGTCATGTCTCTTCATTGGAATAGAAACCCTAACTACAGCACAGCCTCACTAAGCTGTCGAGATTAGCCTTTGAATTTGTGATCCTCATGCTTCACCTTAGTGAACAGTGGGGTTATAGGCCTGTGCCACCAAGTACAATCCTTTTGAATCTGATTAGTACAATGATGACACTTTGGTTCATGGACAAATTTAAGTTTCTGGCCTTTAGAGAGCTAACATTTCATTTTCTTCCCAGTACAGTGCCTATATTATCACAGCATAGGGCATTATATGTGGCCATCACATCAGTCAGTTCCCATGAAGGTAGTCTGGTGCAGGAGAATTGTCTGTATTCATGTTTTAAATAAACGCTGATTGGCCAGGCAGGAAGTATAGGTGAATCAACCAGACAGGAAGTAGAGGTGGAGCAAAGAGAACAGGAGTATTCTGAGAAGCAGAAAGCTCCTCCGCCAGTTCAGCCCAGACCACCAAAGAAGCAACATGTGACCTGCCCCACTATGAAAGGTAATAAGCCATGTGGCTAACATAGATAAGAATAATGGGTTAATATATGCTACAAGAGCTAATAAGAAGACTGAGCTAATGGGCCAATCAGTTTATAATCTAATGGAGTTCTCTGTGTGATTTTTTCTCTGGGACTAAACAAGTGGGGTATCAGGCAGGACAGAAACCCCAACAAGCAGGCCCCTTCATGTTACAGTAGTCCCCAACTCCACAGTGTGTGATGTGTGTTCATGCTCATCAGGAAACTGCTGCCAAGTGCTCGTACAGACTTTGCCGACACAGCTGTGACTAAGTAAGCCCATACACCATCTCCCCTTCCCTTAATTTAATAAAGAACAAATAAGGTGAAATCTCAAGGAATCCAGTGCAAAGGCACAAGAATGTATCAAGGGAGGCAGAGGAAATAGTTCATTCAGTAAAGTACTTGCTATGCAGGCTAAGAGCCTGAGTTCAATCCCCAGTTTTGAGTGGTAGTGAGTACTTACAATCCCAGCACCAAGGAGGCAGAACAGGCAGACATCTGGGGCCTTTCTTGCCAGCCAGTCTATTCGAAGAGAGGCATAATTCAGCCAATTCCAATACCAAGGGCAATCTTCCCTGACCCGGAAATTCTGGTTTTTCTTATGCCTTTCCATGTATACACATCATTACCACCCTCTACCTTTTGTTTTTCCTGAAAAATACCCTTGCCCACCCTGCCCTGTCTTTCTGCATCCATTCCCCTCCCCATCAGCCACCTATGATATTGGCTCCACTTCCGACAATCCCAAACCAGTCTGGGTTGGTATGACCTTACAAAGGCCTTAGCCAACAAAGGACACAGAGCACTGTGTCTTTGCCACTTGATCAAAACAGAGACCATACTTAAGGACACTCACTACTCTCTAACAGACACAAGCACATCACATACCCCTGCAGTATACAAGAACGTCTGCGTCTTCCCTGGATCCTCCCAATGTTCTCTTCCTGTGATTCACACAAGACACTTTTATGTGAAACACTTGTTCTTTTACAACTGTAAGACCCCCTTTCTAAAACAGAAAAAAAAATGTAGACTGGAATCAAACATAATTCCCAAAGGTCCCAAGAGTGGTGATATTTTGTGCTCTAATAAGGCTTGCCTGAGGATCAGAGGGCAAGGCAGTCCAGGCAGTGGTGGCACACACCTTCATTCCCAGCACTTGGGAGGTGAAAGCAGGAAAATCACTTTCAAGGTTAACACTGGGCTACTTGAGATTTGCCCACTCTAAAAGACAAAGAGCCCATATTTTTGATCCCAGCACTTGGGATCTCACACTTTTAATTCCAGCAATACGGTAGTAGTAACAGGAAAGTGACTTGGCTACGCAGAAGGCAGGAGGAGATAGGAGCTCACGCCTATTCAGTCTGGGGATTCAGTAGAGGTCTCTCTAGTGGCTGGCTCTTTTACTGATCTTTCAGCATTTACCCCATATCTGACTATGGATTTATATTATTAAGACCAATTAGAATTCTCATTACACCCAACAAATACTCAAAGGTCCCTGCAAATGGAATGGTAAAATAGGTCCTGCCCTGACAATACCCTAGCACCTGGAATAGCGCCACTGATATTTTGCATGATTTTCATTTATGCTATTTCTAATTTTTCCAGAGACCAATCAACCTTCTCATCAATTACTGCTGACTGGTTTTGCATTTCAATAGAATCCGCAATTTCCTGTGAATGTTTGCTCAACTATACTCCATTTATATTTTAGGGAAAGAGAACCATTTTCAAAGTTTCTAAATTCAAGAAGGAATAAAACAATGAGAACCAAGAAGCTCAATACTATGGTCCAAATAAAGGATACAGGGTAGCCAAGGCCAAGAGCAAGCCTTGTCCCCATCACTACAATACAACACCCATCAGGACAGCTATAATCACAAAGATGGACAATCAATGACAAGTATTGATGAGGATGTGGAGAAGCTAAAACTCTTATTCACTGTTGGCAAGAACAGAAATTGATGCCATCACTGCACAAAACTGTACAGCAGTTCCTCAAAACAATAAAACACAATTACCAGCCAGTCACTTGGATCCATCTTAGTGCCCTCTAGCACAAATTAATAAAAAGGGAGGAATTATGGAGGCCCAAAAATGTGAACCCATTTCCATCTTGTCTAATGGTCAGAGAGTTGGAACTTACCTCTATGCCTTCAAAGTTATTATCTGTTTCACCTCAAACAAAGGTCCCACCTAGATTTAAACCAATGTTGACAATAATATTCAGATATTGTATTTCAGGAATAGAGAAATAGTTATGTTTCTACTCCAAACAAAAAAAAAATCTAAGGATCCAGCTATGTTCCTACTCCCTTAAGGAGATAATTATGGATTCTACCCAGGAAGTGGTTTGCCTACAGAATGTTTTGGTGTAAAGTGTGAATGTTAACTTGTCTTGTTCGAACAACAAAGTGTTTACCTAAGAATGTAGTTTGCAACCTTCAATTGGTATGTTCATTTCCTTGTATCATGTTAATATAGTTTTTATCTTCCTCTTCCCTTTTGGGATCGGGATATTTTAAGCAACTGAAAATTAAATTGGGTGATTTCAGTATTCACTGGAATTCCCTCCCAGCACCAAAAGAAAGGAAAAAAATAAAAGACTATAGATTATAGAGGGCTAAATGGAAAAGTGTCCCGTGTCCATGCCACTATACCCAACATTACTTCAACGATCAAACAACTGACAGAAGTGAACAGATCTTTCATACTGTACTGAATCTTACTGATGTTTGGATTTTGTTTTTGTTTTTTAATTACATTTCTAAAGTTTATTTTGTAGATTAAGACTAGAAATCATAAAATAAGGCTGATAGTTAGTTCAGTCAATAAGTGCTTGTTATGCAAGCTTGTCTCCCAAAGCAATATACAATCATCTGGCACAAGGGCACAGGCTGATGATCCCAGCACTATGAAGGCACATGTAGTTGATCCACAGGTCAATCAGAGAACCTGTCTCAAAATACAAGGTAGAAAGCTTTTGAAGTTGTCCTCTGGCCATATAGCACACTCCTGTACATGAGGCAGACACACACACATACACACACAAAACCATAAAATAAATTTTAAAAAATTTTAAATATGAATCTATGCATCATTTATGTGGTCAGTACCCAAAGAGGACAGAAGAGAGCATTTTATATGATCTGAAGCAGAAGTTACAGATGGTTGTGAGCTGCCATATGGGTGAGAGGAAGCAAACCCAGGACCACTGGGAAAACAGCCAGTGCTCTGAACAGCTAAATCATTTTTCCAAACCCTATCACAATCCTCCTTAAAAATGCAGTGGTTTCTTCTGGTTTGCACTAGGATGCCAAAGAAAATGCTCTCCGCGCTTCCTGTCTGTCTGTGTGGCAGTCCAGGTTGATTTGGAGAGTACATGCGTAATAAATAAATGAATGAATGAATGAATAAAATAAAAGTAAAAATTAAAAAAATGCAGTGGTTTGCCAGGCAATGGTGATACATGCCTTTAATTCAAGCATTCATGGGGCAGAGGCAGGCAAAGATCTCTTTGAGTTCAAAGTCAGTCTGGTCTACAGCTCAAGTTCCAGAGCTATACAGAAAAATACTGTCTTGAAAACCTCCCACTCTACTCCCCACCCCACCCCCAGAAAAGAAAAAAAATGTAGTGACTTGCTGTACAAGATGGTATATGCCTAAAATCAGGATCTCAGGCAAGATTCAAGGACAGGCTCACCCGGGCTACATAGTAAGTTCCAATCAAGTCTGAGCAAGACTGTCTCAAAAGTTTAAAAACATTCCAGTGGCTTCTCAGTGCCACAAAATCAAGTTCACACTTCATGATGGGATTTTTGACTCTAGGTCAGTTTTGGCCCAATTTCCATATGCAAAGAAAGACTTTACTTTTTTCCAAGTTGTTAAAAATACAAAAGTATATGCATCAGTGACTATGTACATCAATCTTCACATTTAGTCCTTTTACAAAGAAATTGTAGACCATAACCTTAGTCCAACAATTTTCATTTGAAAAACAACCTGTCAAAAAATCCTTATGCCAACCATGCCGTCTTTCAAATAACTATGCCTTGCAGGCCTGAAGCTTTGTATGTGACTTCTTCCTGTCTTTCTCTTGATGATCCAAGTTGGACACTGATCTTTTCAGGATTCATGAGGCTCTTCCAGCTTAACCCATACTGCTTGATGATACTCTGTGTGTGTCTTAATAAACCTTCCAGCCAAGTCAGATATGATGAATCACACCTATGACCTTAGTACTCAGAAAACTGAGGAATAAGGAGATCCCCCATGAGCTCAAGGCCATTCTAGGCTACTTCTCACTCAATAGAGAAGGGCTAAGAAACAAAAATTTTAGCCTCCTCATCTTTGCAACTCTAGCATCTGCATATAAATCTGACACATAAACCGGGCGGTGGTGGTGCACACCTTTAATCCTAGCACTCTGAGGCAGAGGCAGGCGGATCTCTGTGACTTCGAGGCTAGCCAGGACAACTTCTACAAGGGCTAGTTCCAGGACAGCCAGGGCTACACAGAGAAACTGTCTCAAAAAAACAAAAACAAAAACAAAACTCTGACACGTAATAGATACTCCCCTAGCTACTCAAAGAATATATTCTTTTGTTTTGGTTTTGTTTTCTGAGTACTGGGATGTAACAAGAGGGCCTGCCTGTTGGGGTTTTCTGTCCTTTCCTGTCCAGTTCCCACAGCTGGTAAATACCAAAGAAAATCACACAGAGGTCTACATAAATCATAAACTGATTGGCTCATTAGCTCAGGCTTCTTATTAACTCTATAACTTATATTAGTCCATTATTCTAGTATATGTTAGCCACATGGCTAGGTACCTTTTTCAGCCAGACAGGTCACACTTTCCTTCTTTGATGTCAGGACAGGATTGGGAAGGAATGGGCTTGCTCCTTCCCAGAATTCTCCTGTTCTCATTGATCCACCTCTACTTCCTGTCTAGTTGTCCTGCCTATGCTTCCTGCCTGGCTACTGGCCAATCAGCATTTATTTAAAACATAATTGACAGGGGCTGGAGAGATGGCTCAGCGGTTAAGAGTATTGCTGGTTCTTCCAAAGGTCCTGAGTTCAATTCCCAGCAACCACATGGTGGCTCACAACCATCTGTAATGAGGCCTGGTGCCCTCTTCAGGCATGCACGCAGACAGAATATTGTATACATAATAAATCAATAAATATATATATATATTTTAAAAAACACATAATTGACAGAATACAGAATTGCCCCACACCACTGGAATTATAATATATATGCACAGCCAAAACCAATACACTTTGCTATGATTAAGAATGGACAGCAAGGGGCTGGAAAAATAGCTCAGCGGTTAAGAGCATTGCCTGTTCTTTCAAAGGTCCTGAGTTCAATTCCAAGCAATCACATGGTGGTTCACAACCATCCGTAATGAGGTCTGGTGCCCTCTTCTGGCCTGCAGGCATACATGTAGAAAGAATATTGTATACATAATAAATAAATAAATATTTAAATTAAACAAAATGGACAGCAAAAGCCAGGTTGTGATGGCACATGCCTTTAATCTCAATGTTTGGAGGCAGAGTTCCAGGACAGCCAGAGCTACACAGAGAAATCCTGTCTTGAAAAACCTAAGGGGGAAAAGAAGGCAGCAAGCTTCTACATAAAGGCAAGTCAGTCAATCACAGAAAGAATAAACAAAAAAAATGACACATGAATTTTAGTATCAATCCAAAAGGACTTAAAAATATCCATAAAGAAAAAAATACCCATAAAGGTGGTAAATCATTACTTCTGTTTGATCTTGAGGGTCTTTCCACAAATAAGTTTTAGAGTGAGAAAATAACATTCGCTCCAGTGTGGGCAGCAATACCCAGTGGACTTCATATCTATTCAGATGCCATCTTACCAGTTTCAGAGTTCGGGGAATCCTAATCAATGTGTGTAATAAGTGCCAGAGACCATGTGAGTTTACTGCTTATACTGGACAGTAAAAAGAAACTGGAACAGGCAGTTGGAGATATCTGCCAACCGTAAGCCTGAGTTAGACTAGAGTAAAAAGAAACAGAAAGTAGAAGGAATGATGAGATTTTTCTATAGGTTTTAATTTTTATCATTTTAATATTCTTTGGTAGGTGCCAATGAAGACTTTAGTAATGACTAATTTCTTTTGGCCCGTAATTTTGTTTTGCTTCAAAGGCCACTGAGATGGCTCAGAGGAAAAAGACACTTGCTGACAGGTCTAACATGAATTTTATACCCAGAACCTACAAAGTGAATGGAAAGAACTGACTCCAGATCGTCACATACATGTCATGGCAGAAATGCATATGCATTATTAATAAATGTAAAAATAAATATAACACTGTTGGCCCCATGAAAAGACCGGCCCTTAAAAGACTAAGATTTACAAGGACTAATCTCAGGCCCCACCATTACCACAAAGAGGCAGTCTCCTTGATGTTGTTGATGCTCCCAGAAGCCTACACATCAAAGCCGCATGAGAAATGCTACCTACCCCTCTCTCACGGTATGTTCCTTACAGTCAGTTTAAAAAAAAAAAAAAAAAAAAAAAACAGAAAATTCTGCTCAGCATCTCCTGGTCTGGGCGGAATATGGCTTCATTCTAAGCAGTGTGGTCTGAAAAGAAATCCTCAAGTTTGAAGATGCTCCTAATAGTGATGGTAGGTTAGGTAAATGCTGTATAATACTGTTCTGCAGGCATGACATGGCTATTACTATTCTGCAATCAGAACAGCTATGATTATCCCCACAAGGCCAGTACAAAATGGAGTCAATGAGCATTACCTCCAAAAAGAGACGTGAAGTCATCAAATGCCTGAAATTATAATCACACTCTCTAATACAGCAGTTCCCAACCTGTGGGTTGCAACCCCTTTTAAAATTGAATCAGATATCCTGCAAATCAGATATTCACAAATTATAAAAGCAAAATTTTATTTATGAAGTAGCAATGAAATAATTATATGTTTGTAGATTACCACACACAAACTGTATTAAAGAGTTACAGCATTAGGAAGGTTGAGAACCACTACTCTAATACCTACTGCTCAACTACATGTAATCTTGCCACAATGTGATCTTAGGAAGTGTTCAGACTAGTTTTTTTCTTCTGCCTTAATATGTGTAGTGTATGTGTGTGCACACTAACATCCTTGTAGGGGTGTACACACCCATGAGTGTGTATGTTAGAGGCCAACAATGTCTTCCTCTATCATTTTCAATCTTTAGTTTTTTTTAATTTATTTTATCAAAAACAATATAATTTATTTTATGTGTATAGATGTTTAGTCTGCTTGTCTGTTTGCCTGGTGTCTCCACAGGCCAAAAAAGGTCCTCAAGACCCATGGAACTAGAGATATAGACGGTTGTGAACCACTAGATAGGTGCTGACAACCAAATTCTGGGCCCTCTGCAAGAACAAGTTTGCTGGGCGGTGGCACCACACGCCTTTAATTCCAGCACTCGGGAGACAGAGACTGGCAAATCTCTGAGTTCCAGGCCAGCCTGGTATAAAGAGTGAGTTCTAGGACAGCTAGGGCTGTTACACAGAGAAAACCTGTCTCAAAAAATGAAAAATAAAAAAGGAAAACAAGTTCTTAACTGCTGAGCCATCTCTCCCAACACCTCCACCTTACTTTTTGAGATAGGGCCCCTCACTAAAACTGGATAGCAGCATTTAGACTAGACTAGCTAGCTAGCAAAGTGCTGGAACTCTTGTTTTCTTCCATGTCTCCAGCACTGAGATTACATACACACACTGTCAAGCTTAGCCTTCAAGTGGGTGCTGGGGATCTGAACTCTGGTTCTTGTGTCCAACTGAGCCATCTTCCAAGCCTAAGAGCCTCACTCTTCAACTGTGGATGATGACCAAAATGCAGGTGCTGCAAAAGTTTGCCAACAGTAAAAGGTTCCTACCACAACCAAAACAATTCAAAATCAAATGCTTAATAAATTAACGGGAGGTGTTACTGGCAGTGCTGGTTCATTCTGTATTACAACTTCACTGTGGCCTTAGTTCTGAGTATACAATATGCAAACTTCACACTGTACATGTAGTCATAGCACATAACACCAACACCAACAGACACTGACTGAAATACATCAGCCAGCTCATATTTGAGACTACAGAATGTGATGAACTTCAAGGTTTTCACTGTACACAGTTTTCTCCTCTTACAGAAACACAATGGTTAATTACGCAAAACAAAAGCATCGTATCTTTCCATTATCATTCTTTAGCATTAAAGTATCAAATTAGTTTATATTATTGTATTATATTATACTACACTAATATGTCTGGGAGTAGGACATAATTTTGAGACAAGGTCTCACTCTATAGCCAAGCTTAGCCTCCAACCCATAATACCCACCTGATGGAGGAGG